AGATATTGACAGAGAAAGAGACAAGGAGAGACAGACAGACAGGGAGAGACAGAGAGGTGGAGGAGGGAAGGAAGGGAAGGAAAGAAGAGGTGAGAGAGAGAGTTAATGAACAAATATTTATCAGGCACCTATGAATATGGTAGTGCACGTGATAGACAGGTGTGCAGCTCCCTGTGCGTATGACAGAGGGGTTGTACATCTCACTGGGACTATGTGTATGCATAATGACAAATTGTAATGTTTCAGTAACTTAATCTGAAAAATTAGGGAGTTGGACAGATCTCTAAGATCCTTTCTACCTCTAAATCTCTGATCATATGAGTTAGGTGCTGGAAGAAAATAGGGAAGACCAAGGGTAGGTGTAGGAAAGACAGAGGGTCTGTGCATGGATGACTTTAATAAGATCCTTAGACCATAAGTGGATGAATGAATGAAAAGCATTTACTGAGTGCTGACTATGTGCCAGGCTAAGTATTGAGGAAGCACATTATTTTTAAAAGGAACAGTCTCTGTCCTCAGGGAGCTTTCATTCTATTGGGATAGACAATTCATATAGGGGAATGGTGACCAGAGAGAGTATATGAAAAGGATATGTGTGTGTGTGTGTGTGTATGTGTGTGCACAAGTATGTGATGTTTCAGAGGCCAAGTGTGTTAAAGGGTTTGTGATTGTTTTCTGTGGGTGACTTTTGAATTTCATGTGGTTGGAGAAATGAACCACAGCATATGTGTCAGAGAGAATGAATATGTGTACAACTGTGAGTGTGCAACTATAGGTGAGAATGTGATTGTGAGTAGTTATGAAAGGACATCAGAGTATGTGTGACGGTGATTGTGTATGGAAGTGTCAGAGTGTGTGTGACTATGGACTGAGAGTATGTGCAATTGGTAGATGTGAGAATGTCAGAGAATGTGCACAACCAGGAATGCCGAGGAGAGCCTGATTGTGAGTGTTGGGTTAAAGATTGGGTTGAACAAGGTCGTCAGGATGGTGGGATTGTGTGTTACTGTCAGGATGTGACTGAGTGAGGTCAGAGTGTATGTAACCAGAAGTGTTAGGGGCCTTTTATGGTGACTACATGTGAGATACTGTACGTAACTGTGTGTGAGCTATGTAAGAGTGTCGTCTGAGTGTATTTGCATGTTTGAGATGACATATACATGTTTAATTGTTCACCCAATTCACCAGTGGCCCTTCACTGGTGGTGAAGGCTTAGGAATATTTGGAGTGGGGGATAGGGGGGGTTGGCTCAAAGAAGGCAATAGAGAAGAGAGCCCATACTTTGCAGGTACTTTGTATATCTCTGTATATGTGACTAACTTATGTGTCCATTCTTGTGTGAGTTGGAAAGAGGGAATTTTTGTGTGCAGAAGGGTCTGCACCTGGGCTTCATAAGGCCCAAGAAATCAGGAGAGTAGCTGAGAAATATGTTAAGTGGAAGACAGTGCCTGGTTTAGAGCAGATTACATGTATGTGCGTGTGTGTGTTCTTGCATGTGGTAATTGTTTTTGGTAGTATATGCATATAGATGACAAATAGGTGTTGGCTGAGGGTCAGATTATGCATGGGAGTTGGGGATGGAGAGGGCAGGGAGTTCAAGGGAATGCTTGCAGCCCAAGTCTCTGGCCCAGCGGCTGTTCATTGGATAAGACAGAGGGTGTGGTCCTGTGTAAAGAGTTATGAGTGTGGCTGAGATGCAGGAGGGATCGTGGATTTTGTTCAACCATTTGTCCGTGACTTTGCCCATGAGTGCGTGGATCTGTGCATGGCCCAACGTCGGCTTGTGGATTGCTTTGTGAGAGAATGAGGGAATGCGGCTGTGTGGGTGGGTGTGGAATTGGCACTGTGTGTGGGTGCATGTACGTGTGTGTGTGTGTGCACACACATGCGTTGTCATGGAGGACCAGTGTGTGTTTGTGAGGGGGTGGGAGGGGAGGAGTTCCTGATTCTAACTTTGGTTTGCTGTCATTCTAGCCCCCTTTTCCCTCTTTCCAGGCCTTCCCTGGTGCCACGCCCCTTCTGCCCTGGATTGAGACAAGAGTGCCTGTGTCTTTCACAGACCAGGGCTCAGGGAGGGGAGAGAAGGGAGGAGCTGTTAGGAACTTCTGGTTGACAGGAGAAAAGGCAGCAGCTGGATTCTCAATTACTCTTTAATATAATGGGAAAAGCAATGGCTTAGGATTCAGATTTTTCTGGATTGGACCTAAGTTTAAATCTTGCCTCCAACACTTCCTGTGTGACCTTGGATAGGTTACCTGATCTCTCCGGACCTCAGTTTTCTTATCTGTAAAACGGACAATTTAAAACAGATTGTCTCTAAGGTCCCATTCAGTTCCGTGATTCTATAAATGGACTTTGACAGGAGAGACTGAGCCCAGAAAAAAAAAATCTTCCTGACTGAAAGCGGACACAAGACACAGAAACAGGATTGAGAGAAGGGGCAACCTCTACTTTCTCTCTCCCTTTAGGAAGACTCTTATGGGTTGCAGGAGAGGATGAGATATTACTCAGAAGCAGAAGGGATGGCCGTTTCAAAGCCTTAAATTCAATATCAAAATTAGGTGGCCATGATTTTGGGGGCTTGCCATGATGATGTTGGCAGGTGTCCAGGAGACGTGAAGAGAAACAAGGAAGGGGAAGGCAAGGGGACATTATGAGTGTCTTGGGGGGATGCAGGGAGAACCTTGACCCTACTACCAGAAGACAGGAGGGTCCCAGCTCAGGGGACAGGTGAGACACATAGAACAGGAGACAGTGTGCCAAAAGCTTTGGTGGGGCCTCCCTCATTCCCTTACCGTGAGGGGAAACCTGAAACCTAGAGATGGTATATGGCTATGGCACACCAGCCAACTGCTTCCTATCTGGTTAATGGCAAGTTTGGAATTAGAAGAATAGATACAATGGGCCTGACCCAGGGAGCCCCGGGGAAGATGCCACTTTCCTCTGAGGCAGCTAGATATACCTGGCCCAGAAAGAATCAGGATGCGTTGAGCCAAGTTAGAGCACTGTCATTAGGCAAAACGGTTGAGAGGCAACTTGGGGTAAGGGATAGAGGCGCTAGGGTCGGGAAGACCTGAGTCTGAATCCTGCCTCTTAGCTAGCTCTGTGAAGCCTGGGTGAGACACTTAACCTATTTCCATTTCCTTACCTTACAGCATGGAATTAGTATCTCATAGTGCTATGAGAATCAAATGAGATAATGTATAAAATGTTTTGAAAACCAAGGAAGATTTTTATAAACATTGAATCATTATTATTATTATTGTCATCATCTTCTCCTCTTTAAGAAATTTAGGTCACCTAATCTAGGGAGTGGGCAGCTAGGTGGCACCCTAGTGCACAGAGCATCAGGCTTGAAGTCAGGAAGATTCATCTTCCTGAGTTCAAATGTGACTGAGACACTTACTAGCTATGTGACCTTGGGCAAGTCACTTCACCCTGTTTGCCTCAGTTTCCTCATCTGTAAAATGATCTGGGGAAGGAAATGGTAAACTATTCCAGTATCATTGCCAAGAAAACCCCAAATGAGGTCATAAAGAGTCAGACACAACTGAAATAACTCAACAACAACGAATCTAGGGAGAATGCTATGCAAGGGGTTATTATTTCTGAATTTTTATATTTTTTTTTACCTTATAAGTCAGCCCCAGAGAATGCACTTTTGTGATCTAGAGTGAGTAGAGAAAGTGGGAGAAGGCAAAAAGGGGCTACATGCCGGGGCTGAGCCCCTTGGCAGAAACGAGACAGGAGGGAATCAGGATTTCAGTAAAGCAGGTCCCAGAACTGAGGGAGCCAAACCAGCTCAGGAGCCAGAGGAGTCTGGGAAGGTGCCTTGAGCTGGAATTCAGTGGCCAAGAAAATGAAGAGAGAAGTAGGAGGGTGATAGCCCAGGAACCAAAGGCACGTTATCTGGACTGGCTCTGGCAGAGGACCTGGGATCCCAGGAAGTTGCCTAAGGAGCCTAAGGCCCAGAGCTGAATCCTTCACAGAGAACAATCTCTCCAGTGACATGCAGTAGATCGGGGCAGGACCCCTTTTTCCTTGAGACACAGTGCCTAAAGATACTTTCCCCTCTCCTTCCACTTCCTTAATTCCCACATTCTTTTTCTTTTTTTTTGGGGGGGGGTGAGGCAATTGAGGTTAAGTGACTTGCCCAGGGTCACACAGCTAGTAAGTGTTATGTGTCTGATGTCAGATTTGAACTCAGGTTCTCCTGACTCCAGGGCTGGTGCTCTATCCACTGCACCACTTATCTGCCTCAATTCCCACATTTCTAAGCACCAAACTCAAAGCCCAGGGATGGGTCCCCAGTGAATATCTTCAGAGTTCAGGCTTGTCTGGGGGACCCTGGACAACCATGTCTCTCTCCCCCATTAGAAGATTTACAGGTTCCAGGGTCCTGTCTCTCCTCATTGTAAATGCATGTTTGGTTCCCAGAACAAGGCTGTAACCACAAGAGGCTTCCCCTCCAGAAGATGGAAGAATGACTAGATTGACAATCAATTCATTTTCTAAGTTGATTCCAAACTCAAAGCCATACAGTGGCTCTCCCTCTTTCTAATGTTCCCTTCCTCCCTATTCCTGACTCCTTCCAGACGGAGTTTCTTAACCTGAGATCTGTAGACTTATGGAACCTGTGAACTTGGAAGGGGGAAAATTAGATTTTCCCCCCACTAACCTGTAACTAAAATTAAGCCTTTCCTTCAGTTATGGATTTTAAAAGCTCCACACTACTCTGAGAAGTCTATAGACTTCACCAGACTGCCAAAGAATCCATGACACCAAAAGGAACAGCAGCTCTACAACTTGATCAGGAGTCAAACCCAAGGAATAGAGGAGAGCCAGATATGAGCAAATCTATTATTACTTGGAGATTCCAGATTCCCCCATATCACAAACATCAGGATTTTCAGCCATTCCAGGTGCCAGAAAGGGAAATAAGAAAGCAGAGGAGGCAGAGGCAAGGGATTACTAGAGAGAGGTTGGAGCACACAGTCACCTCAGATGAGTGAATTTATTTTCTCTCTTTCTCTAATCCCTCTTGGCCCCCACCACTTCCCACACCCTGGCTCCAGCCCACACCCCAGCATGGCCCCTTGTTGTAAGTGATTCAGCAGCTGGATTCCTCAGATGGGATGTGGCCATTCCCTGGAGGGAAACAGAAAGGAAATAGTGAGGCCCAGGAACGGGGGAATGGGGAAGAGCAGAGCCAGTTTCCCTTACATGGAGTCACCAAGTCACAAAATCACAATGTCTTAGAATTGGAAGGGAACCCAGACGTTATCTATTCCATCTACTATAACTTTATTGGAGTCAAGTCGTCATTCAGCCTTAGTTTGTTGTCATGGAAGCCCAAGATTTGGAGAGTGACCATGGGGTCTAGGAGAGCAGGAAACCTTGCTCATTGCCCAAAAAAATATTAGAGCCTCCAGGGAACTTAGAAGAGGGAGTAGGATGGACTCTGTCCTGTTATCTATTTTCTCTGGGGTGGGGGAGAAATGGAGGAGGCAACAACATGGATCACAGTATTTATAGTAATGCAAACCCTTATGATCACCTTAGTCCAACACCCTCGTTTTCGTGGATTGGGAAACTGAAGCCCAGTGATTCAATGACATATCCAAGGTCATATAGGGAGTGACAAAAGGGTAAGAGAAAGGGGCTGGATCTGCAGTCAGGGTGACTGAAGTTCCACTTCAAAGAATTGACTCATGAGGGTTCTGAAACCCTGGAGTGGGTAACCCTCAAACTGTAGAAGGAGTGTTGTTTTTTTTCTTTGTGGAGAGGATGAGGATTTGAACACTGGTCCCCTGTCTCCAAATGCAGGTCTTTCTAAAAATACACACTATTTGAGTGGGGATAGGATCACAGAAAAATAGCTATATGCAGATGCCAAGCACTCTGGATTTCCCTGTTGGCAATTTGGTAAATGTTTCTACCCCATTGGGTAAAGGCCCCCCCCCACACACACCAAGACCATTTGGAGGAGAGGTTGGTGCTACCCATTTCCCACCTAGTTTGACTCACCTGGAGAAGTCAGAGGTCCTCAGTGTTGGTCAAGGATGAGGGGCACCTGGGCAATGTCAGAGCAGGGAGGCAGCTGCTCACCCGTGCGCACATTGAACATGGGCAAGGTGGACAGAGGCCGGGGCACTGATCGGTTTGCTGCCATCTGCCGGAGTTCCTCCGTGTTGCCATGAATGGTGCTGTGGTGAACCATCTGGATGCTGTTAAGGGATCAAGAGAAAACAGGGGAATCAGCACCCACCAGGGTCTGACAGAGGGGAACATACAAGTTATATGGTGGAGGTCGCTTCTCTCCCTCCCATGCCCCAAAGCTCATGTTTGGTGGCAAAAGCTATCTGCTCAACAGAACCAGGACAAGGCAAACACATACAGTGAACCTATCTGTGGAGAATACTGGGGTGGGGGGGGGGGAGTGTCATGTCGAATCACATCCACATGCAGAACCAGAATACACCACATCTTGGTAACCTCACACCTCAACCGCCCCTCTCTAACTTCTGCCAGTGCCCTAGGAGGTCAGGCACCAGGCGACAAAGGGACATGGGGAGAGAACAAATCTGGGCATGGTGCCAGCTTCTGTGATCACCAGAGAATAAGGATTGCCAATACCATTTTGTCCATGACCCTGTCTCTACCTAGATAACCAAGAATCTCTCTTGGGTTTGAGGGCACCTCTCCATGAAGGAAAAGTCACACTCTCCACGGTTGAGGCACCAACCCCAGGGTTTCAGAACTCTCATAATCAGTTCTTTCAAGTCAGATCTCAAGCTCCCTGACTACAAATTCAGCCCCTTTCTCACATCCTATTCTATTCTCAGAGATGGAGAACAGCAGGCCTTCCATCAGACATGCAGTGCCTCTGGACATTTCTATGATCTTGGACTCTTTCATTTTCTTCTTTATATAAATAATCAAAGTATGAGAAGGGTCCTTTCAGATCTAACATGCCACCTTTATTTTATAGAAGAGGAAGCTGAGGCCCAGGGAAATGACTTGGCCAAGTCAAACAGCTCTACAGCTGGGATTCAAGCCCAGATCCTCTGATTCCAAATTCAGTGCTCTTTCCACTAAGCTCCATTCTTATGATTCCTTTCCTGTCCTAGTATGTCATCTCAGCCCCTCCCCCCAAACTCCAACCTTAGTTAGGTCACTGTTCAGTCACAGTTATTGTAATATGGAAAGAGTAGTGAACTAGGTATATCAAATGGCATAGAGATACTACTTCTGTCACTTATGGTACCCAGTGCCCACCTCACCATCCCATGACAATTGGTGTGTCCACAGGAACCATAAAGCACGCAGTCCTTACTTCATAGCTTGATCTCCTTCCACCTCGTCACTGATTCTCTCCTTCCCAGCCCACCTCCCAGTCTTATCCCATCTCCCTGAATTCCCTGCCTCTGACTTGGCCTCTATATCCATCCAAACCTATACTCCCATCTCCCTCTCCTTTAAGTCCCCCATCTTATCCCTTCCTGCTCCACACTCCAAGAAACCTGCCTGGTTTGTCCCACTTGAGTCTGTCCCCTCCAGCCCTCCAGCCCTGGTACTGACTGCTCTGTTCAAGAGTCTTCCCTTGTCTCTCAGTCTCTCTCTCCCCATCCTAACAAGGGCACCACCATCCTAGTCACCCATGCTCATAATCTTGATGTCATTCTCCACTCCACACATTCACTCCACATATCCAATATTGTCCAGTCTTGTTGTTTCTACATTCAGATCTTGTGTATATATCCCCTTATATAGCAACCATCCTACTAAATGCTCTGTTACAGGCCCTCATCACTTCTTCCTTCAACTGTTGCAATATTTCCTCCCAATTGGCCTCCCTGCATCAATCCATCCTCTACTCAACTGTCAAGTGATTCACTTAAAATATAGGTCTGACCATGTCACCCCTGGGACTCAAACTCCCATGGCCCTTTATCACCTCCAGGATCAAAAACAAAATTCTGTGTAGCATTAAAAGCTCTCTACAACTTGACCAGTTTTCTCCGCTTTTGTTGTTCAGTCATTTCAGTCATGACCCCACTTGGGGTTTTCTTGGCAAAAATTTTGGAGAGGTTTGCCATTTCTTTTCTCCAGCTCATTTTACAGGTGAGGAAATGGAGGCGAGCAAGGCTGAGTGACTTGCTCAAGGTCACACAACTAGTAAGTGTCTGAGGCTGAATTTGAACTCAGAAAGATGAGTCTTCTGATTCTAAGCCTGGTGTTTATGTTTCATGTGCTCCATGATCCAGCAGCTCTCACATAGAACACTCCACATCTCAACTCCATGCCTGGAACCGGCTATTCCTTATACTGGAATGTTCTTCCTCCTCATCTCCTGCTTCTTATCTTCTCTGACTTTTTTTTTAAGACCCAGATCAAATCTTATCTTCTGCATTCATTTCCTGTCCTCCAGAGCTAATACCTTCTCACTAAGACTTTGTAGGTACATACTTGATTGTACGTTGTCTCCCCATTAGAATGTGAGCCCCTTGAGAGCAGGGACCATGCATGCTTTTGCCTTTTTTTTCTACCCTTTAATGTTTAACATGATGCCTAACTAATAGTGAGTAATAAAGACTTATTAAATTGAAACTGCCCTGGCTGTGTGGGGTGTTTCCCTCATTTCACTGGAAGCTCCTTGAGGACAGGGACTGTGTGATCTTTCTCTGGGTTTTCGCTCCTAGTGTCCAGCACAAGCCTCTGACCAAGGGAGGTTCAGTACAAAGTAGCATCTACTAGCTTCCAATTTTAACTAATTATTCTTGCTAACTAGGTCCTAAGCTTGGTTATTTCTATTCAGTGAAGAGTGCTGTCAGTCCCCTCTAAATTTAGGTGCCCTGAGATGAAGCACCAGTCACCTTGCCCTAGTTACAGCTCTGAAGGGAGGCCCTAGTATTCCATACAAGGATAAACTAGGCCTCCCATATGAGTAAATTCATCTCATTTAAAACTACAAGTCACATATGGGGAGAGGATTATTCATGGTGACAAACAGGTGCAGTCCCAGGAGCCTGGAAAAATTACAGTCTATTAGATTTTAGGTTCTTTGAGGTAGGAGCTGTTTTTTCATCATAGTATCATTCCCCACACACACATACCCCATGCCCCCAGTGCCTAGCATAAGGCTTGGTATACAATAGGTATACTTAATGTTTGTTGAATTCAATGAAGCTATAACTAGATGGATTGAGGTTAGACTACACAAAGCCTCAGATCTGATCAGCATGGAATCTCTTTTCCTAGAACAGGGTATGTTGGAATGTGAATAAGCTTTGGAAAAGAAGGTTCTGTCTGAAGTAGGGGGTGGGATAGGATGACCTCTGGAGTCTGGAATTCATCTGGAAAAGTTGTGCAAACCTCAAATTTACATTTCTAGAAAAGAAAGAGGGGGGGTAAGGGAGGAGATAGGACTGTATAAAAATTTGGGAGGGGAATCAGGTAGGATGGGGAAAGATAAGACAAGGAATATGCCTCCTTTCCAAATTAGAGATTAAAGGGGAAAGAGAGGGTCATGAGGCAGCAAGGTTAGGGTTTCCAGGAGTCAAGAAAACCCGAGTTCAAATCCCTTCTTCCCTCCCAGATACTTCTTGGCTGTGAGACCCTGGGCAACTTACTTGCTCTCTCTGAACCTCAGTTTTTTCATCTGTGAAATGGGGACAATGTTGTCACCTAATCACAGAATGGTTATGAGAATCAAATGAGATTGTCTTTGTAAAGCAATCGGCAAACCTTAAAGTATTATGTATCAGTGCTAGCTACTGTTATTATTATCCAGCAACACACAGATACAGGGAAATAATCTGAGCACTTGATTCCTGTGGCTTCGGTCAGAGGCCCTCTTTTCCTTTTCCAGCTTCTTCACATATGCTTCATCACTCTGCATGACCATGTCAATACAAATGTTATGACGTGTGTATTCTGTCATGCACACATGGAAAGCTGGGTTCCAAAATGTATTTAAGCCTCACATGCCTAAAGCATGAGATGCTACCATGCAGAAACACGAGCATAGGCTACATAACTACATGTGTGCCTGCATCCACCAACACGTACTTGCTACATGTCAAACACGCATTCTGTCATGGGGGCTCATTAAACATATCCTCCAAAGCACGCATGCACACACACACCTGCCAACATGCCATTACCCACAGGTGCCATCTATCACGCATTGCTAGACATCTACAGGCCCCTCAGAGGAGGGACACTTTGGATTTTCCAATGTACAATCCTTGCCCCTACCTCACCCAGGTCCCTTCTGCTCTCTGTGCCCCCCGTGGTAGAGAGCAATGGCCCAACTGTGACCCCACTGACAGGGTTCTGATGTTGTCATAATACCTAACTTGGGTCACCGTAGAGACTACTTTGTGCCCCTCTTCCTGATCCTACCAGTTTGCAGGGCCAAGGGAGGGGCACACAACCTCAGTCCGTCCTCCCACCAGGGGAAGCCACTAGTCAGAGCTGAAAGGGAAGAGGCTCCAGGAGTCAGAGACAAGCCTCACCCGGTCAGCCTACCGACAGCCCCCAACTACCCAGGATTGGCCCTTCTGAGAGTCTTTCCCTCCCACCAACCTGGAAGTCCTAACACTGAATTCTCCTCACCCAGCCCAGGCTGGGGAGGAAGAAGAAGTAGAGGGGAACTCTGAACCTCAGCCCGCCTCTCCACCTGTAGCCCCAGTCTCTGCCGATTCCCCAGAGGGAGAGGCGCCCGATGGCACAGGGGCATCAGTGGAGAACAAAGCCGACAGCCCAAGCAATCGCAGGAGACCAAGCCTGTCTGAGGTGATCCTATGGGCCGTTGCAGGTTCCAAGACACGCCGGGGAGTTTCACTGGCCACCCTGAAGAAGGCTGTTAGCAGCACAGGCTTCAACATGGCCCGCAATGCTCAGCGCTTCAAGCGGGTGCTGAAGGGGCTGGTGGCCAAGGGGGTGCTGAAGCAGGTGACAGGCACTGGGGTCTCAGGCTCCTTCCGAATGGGCAAGAAGAAGCTGAAGTGCAAGAAGGCAGCGCAGCCCCAGAGGCAGAAGCGCCAGAGGAAGCAGCCGCACCAGGAGGAGCAGCAAAAGGTCAAGGGGCGCCAGAAAAAAGGGTCCCGCAAGCCAGCCCGGCGCTCCCGGAAATAGTGAAGGAGGCCAGGCCAATAGGATGAGGGTACTCGGGCCAGCCGCAGGCACGGCACAAATAAAAACTGTTATTTCACACTAGCCTCTGTAGGGTTCTTTGGGAGTCCATTGATCTTATGAAGAGGGGAATGGATGGTCTGCTGGGAATGGTGGGAGCCTCAGGTTGGTAAGGGAACAAGGAGAACGTAAGCCAGGGAGTGGGAAATGATGGAAGGACTCCTAAGCTAAACCAAGGCCCTGTTGGGAGGCAGGGACTGGCAGGGGAGAAGGGAGGTTGGTTGGTGGGGGAACTGCCCTTCCCTTCATTCCTGAACAGGAGATATATGTATGCCACCATGGACCAGATAGGATGGAACCAGAGAATCATTCTCTGTTGCTAGGCTCCCTCCACTCCACCACACCTAAGACACCAACCTCAACAGCAAAGAGAACTTAACCTCCGTCATTCAGAGCTTGAACAAAATGTTTTCAGACCCTCAGCATGAGCAACCCTCTCAGATGGTTCCCATTTTCCCAAGAGAAGGAATCCTCTCCCCTAAATCCCTCTTCTCTCTGTCATACTCACTCAGAGGTAGCAAGGTTTCTCTTCAACCTGTAGGAAGGAGAGTTAGAGACAGCATCAACTGATGAATGCCAGCCCTCCTTCTCAGCCTCTGCTTCCAGCCAGAGCCAACTGTGGTGAGCAGCATACACTCTAGGCTTGATTTTCTCAAAGAGGGCAAGAGGAGCTTGGAGTACTCATTTGCATACTGCCTTTGGATCCTCAAAGTTAGCAAGGGACAATGTTAGAGCACAGCCGGGTTTCTTAAAAAGAGACAATACTGAGAATCATAGGGGGGTGGTGGGGACCATTACTTATTTCCAAGTCCTATTTAGGATTCAGTTATCTATGAAACCTAAAAGGCCCAGAGGAAGATGTCAGTAAAGGGTCAAATGGTCAGCAAAGACCAGGTCCTCCCCATAGACCTAGGACAGCTACATAGCTAATTCTATCCCCTATCCTCCTGACCCATCTAAAAATCTCTGTTCAGACTGCTGCTACCCCTGACTCCTAACACAGCCCAGGCTGGCTCTGGCTGGAATCACAGGATCCTAGATCACAGAATCACAGAATCATAGCTGGAAGACATCTTAGAACTCATTTAGTTCTACCCACATTTAACAAAGCATCAATTTGGGGCCCTGAGAGAATTGACTGCCATGATCACCCAAATGCAAAAAATGGAGCCAGGATTCCCTGACTCCAGGTCCAGTGAAGGGAATGGAAAGAGGGAGAAGGAGATAAACAGAGGGCCTGCCATGCTTTGCCCCCCGCAACTCACACGCCCTCCCTTCGGCAGCACATGATGTAAGCCAGAATCAGGGTAAGAAGCAGGGCGACCAGCAGCGGCACTAGGAGGGTGATCAGGGCATCCGTCAGAAAGTCTCTGTCAGGTGCCTCCGTTGGGGGGCAGAAGTATGGATCATGCTCCAAAATGCCATCGCCCCAGGTGGGCACCGGCCCAGGTAGTGCAGGTACTGACTTATCCACCTGGTTTAAAAAACAAAACAATCAGCACTGACGTGAGTGAGACCCAGAAATAGCTTAGGGAAGAGTCAAGGACCAGGGGAGGGAAGGAAAGGTTGCTCTCTCATCCTCACATAGTTGAAGAACTCTGCAGCCTGAACCCTGATGAAGACCTTCCTGGGCCCTCTGAGGGCAGTGGGGAATGTCCATTAACCACAGGTAGAGTCACATCTAGGAACTGACCTCCCAACACCCACCTTGCCAACGGAAAAAGCCCTGTATTTGGAGTCAAAGGCCTAGGGTTCAAACACCTGATTGGCTACTTTCTATCTGCGTGACCTTGGACAAGTCACTTAACATTTCTGGATCTCCATTTCCTCCTCTATAAAATGAGGAGAGTGGATAGACAACCTCTAAGGTTTATACATTTGATGATCCTACAAGTCTTGCAGCTCATCTGTCCACTAGGCAGCTGAGGCCCCCTGGTGTAGGAAGGGAGAATCTCAGGATATAATAACAACACACTCACACTAAAGTCACTCTAAGATTGTAAGTTACAGATCTTCATTGGCAGGGGAAGTGGCTTGCAAGTCTAGACCAAAATAATAATGATCAATCAACTGATCAATTATCATCCCTTTCCTCTGTTTAGCGTGTTATAGTTAACAAAGTGCTTTCACTACACTATCAGATACCCTGAGCTTGTGAGGCAGGCATGGCAGGGCTGATTGCCCCCATTTTATAGATAAGGAAACTGAGACTCAGGTCTAAGGTAATGACCACTCCCTTTTGTATTTAAGCAGCAGAGCTGTATTAAATAGCGGAACTTGTCTTCTGACTCCTAGTTGTGTGTGTGTGTGTGTGTGTGTGTGTGTGTGTGTGTGTGTGTGATGAGGGAGGGGGTAGGGTGCCCACATTCCTCCCCGGGGACGTCACATTCCTCACCAGGGACACATTGCACCAGTCGACTTTGAAGTGGGGTACGAAGCTGTCATAGCAGGACAGAAGTGGCGGCTGGCCCTGGGTGCAGCGGTCATGGCTGGCAGGAGACCCTACCACCTTCAAGCAGGTGGAGAAGGGACTGGCAGAACCCACTTGGATGTAAACCCTGGGCCAGAAGAGATCACACCTGAGTTGCAATAACTGCTATAGCCACCGGGGGGGGGGTTGTAAGCTTGAGGAGGGCAGGTAGACTCAGCCCAGGGTGATAAGAGAGAGGAAAAGACCATGAGAATATGCAATCCATTTTTGGTCATGGTCAACTTGGGAATTTGGGGGCTTTTTTTTCTTTTACTAATATTTGTTAAAAGAAATATTTTTCTTTTCTTTTTCTTAGGGGGAGGGAGAGAGGAAATGGGAGGAAGAGAAAACAAATGCTTATTAATTGAATTAAATTTTTCTTTTTCTGAGGGCGTAAAATATACACACAAATAAAATACTCCAGTGGAAAAAATAAAAGACCATGAGACTGATGGAAGTCCATGAGGGATGTGTGTGGAAAGGGCTGGAGAGCAGAGAGAACCCACTGAATTAAGAGAATTAGAAACTTATTCCTCCCTCCTTTTCTTTAATTCAAAGAAATGGGAGTTTGGATAGGGAGACTATTAGAGGAAGTTTCCCTGGATTTGATTGATGGACAATTTGGAAGTACAAAAGACAACACTATGGATAGAATGATGGATCTGGGTTCAGGAAGACCTAAATTCTGTTCCTACCTCTGACACTTACTAGTTGTGTGTGGTTACTTAAAACCCCTCCAGACATAGTGAGAGGAATGGCCACACTGAGAACTTATATCCTTGATATTTTTAAGCATTGAAAAGACCAAGGAACTAGGAAATGCCATGGGGATCCCTCACCAACCCTACCCCTCCTTGCGGCCTTCAATGGGAAGAGGGACACGACCTCCACGGTCCAGAGCAGAGGTGATGTTGAGTAACTGCAGTTCCCCAGGCACCCAGAGTCCACCCAGGGCGGTCAAAAAGCGCTGCCCAATAGGTGAGGGCAGCACCTCTTCCACATCATGGCTTTGCACCAGGAATTCAGCTTCGTATGGAAGTGAAGGGCCTGTGGAAGGACAAGGGAAATGCCTTGGGCAGGATCCATATAACCCCCAAACCTCCTATCTTTTCTGACATTCTAGACCCAAACTTCCCAGGCTCTGATACCACAGTCCTTCCCTCTCTTCTCCCATCTTCCCCTATTCAAATTTCAAATCCTTATCCCATAGCCTAGTGCCATCCTGAAGTCCCTTTTAAGTCCCTTTTCATCACAGAATCCCCCCCATGGTACTCCAAATTTCCACACTTCAATGCTTTGTGTTCCTCTTCAGTTCCTTCCCTTATACCAGCTTCCAACTTCCCAAACCGAATCCATTCCCTGACTCTCATATTAATAATAATAACAACAAATCCCACATTTTCTCAAATTCCCCATTTCTGATCCTTACCAGAGCCCCTCAGTCCCCTCCCCACACATACACACACTAACTCCTCTTTCTTCCCTAGGGGAGATCCCAGAAGATCTAGAGTAGGAATGGGGCCAGTGTTACCTTCAGGCTCCCCTACCAGCAGCACCAGCCTGTTTCGGGTTGTCTCAAAGCTCTCTCTGTTGTAGGCTATGACCTGTGGGAGGGGATGGGGTGAAGTGAGTGGATGAGGGGTGCCAAGTCCAAAGGGAGGAGGAGTAGGCCTTGCCAAGGGGAGGAGAGTAATGAAAGGAGAGGAGGAGGGGGTAGGGGTGGGTGACATCTGTGCAGCTGGATATTGACTAATTGCCATGCAAATTATATGTAAATAACATGCAAATAAAGCTCCAAGATGCCTTCCACCTCTGGGGAGACATTGAATGTCAGAGCTGGAAGATACTCTTCCAATCATCTGAGCCCAACCCCTTCATTTTTCAGAGGTGGAAGGGTAAAGGGGGTGGGCAAACATAAGGGTTCAGAGGCCCAGGGTCACCATGGAGCTTTTTCTGATACCTCAATGATTTGTTGGCCTCGGTCTTCAAGTGTAGGGGTCCCATAGAGGAAACCAGGCTGACTGGGGCTGCGCTGGGTGTAGTGGAGCCATCGAGGCAAATCTGGATGCCCCAGTAGGTGGGCATGGAAGGTGACAAGAGTATTGGGTCTGGGATCTGAGAAGAAGAGGGGAAGTAGGCACAAAGGCACTTCAACACCTCGTTCTCCCACCACCCAGGGGAAAAAGCATCTGACAGCCCCACCTCATGGGCACCAGAAGTTACCTGTGTAGTCAGCTCTCAGGAGAGGCGAGTATCCCTTTCCTCAGCCCTTCTACCCTGATGGATCATAGGGGTCCCATGGGCCTCCCTAGATTTATTGGGGGGGGGTAGGGGAGTAGCTCTCCTCACCAGTATCAGGCAGATCCACAAAACTAGCAGGTCCCAACGTATGAATGAAGACTCTGCCAATGAGAGGGTACAGCATCTGTTGGGCCACAATACCTCCAAACCTAGACAGGAGTCCTGTGGGGATACCAGTGCATACAGGTCCAAATCTCAGAGGCTCAACTTCCCTTCAACATAGTTTTACCAGCCTCTAGGAGAAGAATCATACCTGGAGGTCAGGTTGAAGTGGGGAAGGGGCAGGTTAGCCAGAGAGTTGGTGGGGGAAAAAAGCTACTCTTCCTCCTTCTCCTCTCCCTGGACTGTCCCAATATCTACCCTCTACCCAAGAAGCCCTAAGATGGGTCCCTCCCATGTTCCAGCAGAGTCGGGAGACATTGCCATTTTGAAACCACAGAGTGGCACCTGCCTCAAAGATGATGTGAGATTGTGGTGAATTTGAGGAATAGACTGTACTGGGGGCTGCTGCTAGAATAGCTCTTTCCCTGACCCTCAGTTTCTTGGGGCAGGGAAGAGGGAGTCTGAATAGTGTAATAATTGTCAATCATGACATGACTGATTAGCAATAATCAGTTACTCTCTGTTATGATTTCATTTTAGGGGGAAAATTTCCCCGTCCCCATCCCATAATCCTGCTTGAGGCCCTAAGTATAGCAGTTGGCACTATTTACTGTGTGCACATGATTCTATCCAGTAATGTCTTTCCTAGGGATAATGTTTGATAAGAGTGGGTATTGGGGGTGTGGCTGGGAAGGGATGAACTATTAAGAGGAATTCCAATGAAGTGAGCAAGATGTGGGTGCAGAATTGGCCACAGAGTGGAAGGGAGTGGCATTGTACTCTGATGGCTTAGAGGATAGATAGAGGCAAACAGGATGAGGCAGGTGGGGGGTGGGGTGGGGGTGGGGGGTGCCCAAACTGTCCAGGGAAAGACTGTTATCTTCACCTACAGCCCCTCAGAGGCTGTAGACAGGAGTTATGTCGAGGGCGGGGGTGGGGAGGGGGAGAGGCTTGAGTGCTGGGTTCTCCTGAGGACAAGGATTCCTATTAAAAAATAGCCTTGAGCTCCCTGGATATCTCTTGATACAAGTCCCCTCCCCTCTCTGCCAAATTTAGCCAGGGCTGGGCTACAGGCTCTAAAGCAGGCTGGGCAGCTGAGCCCATCCCAGCCCATTAAAGGCGATGGGAGAGAAGTTTGAGGCAGAGTTTGGGAACTAATATCTTCTTTTCCTGGGTCCCCTCAATTCCAACTCTACAGCCTCCCGCACCTTTACAGCCACTAAGTAAGTCCAGCCCTTCCATCCTGACCTCACAGCTCACAGCCAGTCCGCAAAGTTTCAACCCTGACGGCCCGTACACAGCTTTCTACCCTGATTCCTCAGCCCACCTTTCTAAGCCCCAAACCCATCCTGGTTACACCTCACCAACTCCCAACCCCTCAACCTGATTCTTTAACCCATCCATTCCCTTAGCCCCAGGTCTCCTGGGGTAGGCTGATCCCCACTTGCCTATGAGAAGGTAAGTCCAGACCAGTACCAGCGCTGCCGCCATCTCTGCCCCAACCTCAGCTGGGGCCCCTCTGACTGACACAGAGAGGCAGGTGCTGAAGGGGGAGGGCAGAGGAGAGAGTATTCTGACAGGGTAGCTGGGTCCTAGTTGCAGTCCCAAATATTCTACTGTTCACTGTATTCCACCCCCACTCTAAGACAGTGACTAATTTTGGGGGGGGGGGGAGGTGGGGAGGAAGAGAAAAGGATACGCTATGGAGCAAGGATGTAATATGCCCTTTAGCAGATGCGGAGGTACAGATTTGTCAATTTCTCTTCATATTTCTGCCCAAACCAAGCACCCATGGGCAAAGCCCTGTGCTGGGTGCTGGGAGAGAAGTATGTCTTCTCTGGCCAGGATGGGGTAAGTGGCAGTCTGCCTAATGGCAGCTTGCCTGGAGGCAGGGGAATGGATGAGGTCACCTCTTATTTCCTGTGTCTATTGGCTGACTCTCCCTTGAGGCAGGACACCAGCTGGGTTCTTTATTTTAGTGTTTAATTTGTGTGTGTTTCTTTTCTTTTTCTTTAAGAAACACTTTATTGATGCTTTTTTAAAAATCACCATCACTTTACAATGATCCCCCTGACCCTGATAAAACCCTTCCCTGTAACAAAGCATAGCTGAGCAATACAAGTCAACACATTGGCCATATCTGACCATGTATGCCTCATTCCATACTTACAGTCCACACCCTCTGAAAAGAGACAGGAGGGGTGCTTCACTCTCAGTCTTCTGAAATCATGATTGTACTCTGTAGTAATTAGAGTTCTGAAGTCTTTCATTGTTGTTTTCCCTCATAGTATTGTGGTCATTGTGGTCACCATTGTGGTCACTGTTCTTCTAGGTCTGCTTACCTCATAGTGCCTACGTTCATAAAAACTCTTCAAGTTATTCCATATTCTCCATATTCATAGGTTTTTAAAATACAATCATTTCATTGCATCCACATGCCACAATTTGTTCAGTCATTCCTGGGCTGATGGGCACTCTTCCTTCCAGTTCTTTGTTACTAAAGGTGCTAAAATAAATATTTTTGCATATATGGGGCCTTTCCACCACCCCCCTTGTTCTTCCTCTGTCTCTGTTTCTGTCTGTCTGTCTCTCTCTCATCTTATCTATTGTAAATTTCACAATTGTCAACAAACACAAACATTTCAAAATACAAAGAGGAAAGAGAGGGTCAAGCCACGGAACCTACATAGAATGGTCTCCCCTCAGCCTGCTATTTGACTCATTACCACATTCATTTTCACCATCCTGAATTCTAAGGTAAACCTTACTTTTAGTATGTTTAGATATTTCCTTATTAATTTCTAAAATTTCAACATCTTTCTCATTAATTAAATACTTAGTTCTAAGTTCTTAGACCACATTTTTAAATGATTACTCACCTAATAAACTGAAGAAACCTCTTTTTCCCTATGGGTAGTTGCTCATCTCTTTTTATCAAAACTCCTAATCTTCTTGGCTTAAATACATATCAAAGTTAGTGGCAACATGATTTACTAGCAATGTAACTAATAACAATAACACAAAGGCACACTTGTTTAAATAATTATTTGCAATCTTTTAGCTGTAAGAAAGATCATAGCCAGACTCCTCTTTTACCATTACTATTACTTTTGATCTCTCCTCACATCTAGAGCACAGTCCCACCACTCAACTCTCATGATTTCAGCTGTCTCTCAAATCTTGTTTCTTCACAAGAGAAGATAAGAACAGTTCTGCCAGGAAATAAGTTTTCTTCATTTTCTTTCTTCCATTTTTCTCGTAGTCTCTTTCAAATCTTCACTGTCAATAGTCTCTCTAGAGATGACAGTTAAAATTCAATCTCTACAAATACCAGTTAAAATTTAATTTCTTTACAAATAGTAGTTAACACTCTTTGCTTTCTCATAGATCAAAGTTAAAACATACCCTTACCCCTGACTTCTCAAGAAGTGGCAGTTAAACTGTCACTGTTCAAGATTCCAAAACTTCTTAAAAATATAACTGTATCTAAAGTCTCTATAGGAAAACACATTTAAATAGATGTTACAAGTACTATGTAAGAAACTGGACTTTTGTTTCCTATAGGTTAAGAAAAAAGGAAGGAGGGAGGGAAGGAGGGAAGGAAGGAAAGAAGGAAGAAAAGAAAAGGAAGGAAGGAAAAAGAGAAAGGGAGGGAGGGAAGGAGGAAAGAAAAAGAAGCATCTAAGATTCAACTTTCATCTCAGGCTGGCATCAAATTAGCTTCTATGAAGGTGAAGGAGAGGGTGCCTTTCTTCCTAGGGCATCTCTCTCAGAGGGGGTGCAGGAGTGAGGATGGAGGAGGTGGTCCCTTCCAGGAATAAGAAAAAAAAGTGTTCTGGGGAAAGAAAAAGACACTAATGGGCTCCTGCAGGGAGGGCACAATAGTGCCCAGACCAGAGGGGACATGATGCCATCAAGAAAACTGCCAGGCTCTGTCCCTCACACTGGACTCCATGTGATTCCCCATCCTTCTCCCTCTGCCTCCACTGTTATTTTTAGAGTAACTCCTTTACATGCTTAGTGCTCTTAAGTTGGCAATGCCAGCACCTTGATGCCACTTGAGTCTCATGGAGGAATGTCACCTTTACTGACAGACCTGTTGCCACTTCTTCCCATCGCTCCCTCCCATTATTTCAAAGAGAAAAAGTATGTTCTAAGATAGAGTGGGGAGGCTCTCATGCCCTCCAGGAAGTTGATGCCCAGGCCTAATACCCTTTATGGCCTCCCCCACTCTCTACTCCAGAGTACAACATGTGGATATATGTAAGATTGTTTCCTCCCTCCATGCCCACTATACCAAGGCTGGGTGGGAATTACCATTAATGCTCCCATGTCAGACAAGCACTAAAGAAGTATGCAGCTTTTAATGGTTTGGGGAATTCCTGACCTGTCTGGGCCTCAGTTTTATTTTATATTAGAGGATGGATCTTCCTGCATAGCAGTTGAGAAAGGAGGTGGCAGGGGAAGCCTGTAAGGGTAGAGGAGGATAAGTTTAGGCTAGCTCCTAGGATCTATCTCTGTCTTATCTCTATGTCCTTTCTCCCCTCTCCCACCCTCCATTCTGTCTTGGTGTGTCCTTATCTCTGCCTCTCTAGCCTATGTATCTCTCTCTCTCTCTCTCTCTCTCTCTCTCTCTCTCTCTCTCTCTCCCTTTTGTACCCTTTATCTATGTCTCTGTCTTTGTCTCTGTCTCTACAAAAGTTTTTCCATCTTGGTGCCTCTCTGTACCTGCATCCCAATCCTGCTCTTCTATATCTATCCCCTCAACTTTCTGCCTCTTGTGTCTGTCTTTTTTGTGTGTCTTTGTATCATTTTCCCACCACTGTCTTTCTGTATCTATCTCTTTAACTCTCTGTTTCTCCATTACTCTTATCCATCTCTCCATTAGTCTACTCTGTATTGGGTTCCCCAAGTCTGTCTCTTTAGAACTATCTCCTCAACTGTATCTTTGCATTCCTTTGTATCTATCTCCCAAACTCTCTCTTCCCCTTACACATTTAAATGGACTGTCTGAGTTGTGATGGTGCCTATCTGCCACCAGAGGGCTCCTGTACCTATTCTCATTCAGGATCTACGCCTGCGCTAGAAGGGGTCAGTCAGGCAACCAGTATCCTAGAGAATGTTATCTGTGAACCTGAATACGGAGGCAGGGGAATGGATGCAATGACCTCTCCAGGCCTTTCAGTTGAATTCGATGTCTCCTTACCTTCCTGCTCCCATCCTGCCTTTTATTTTTTTTAGGGACATCCCCTCCATTCCACACCGCCCCCCCTAAAGAAAAAGAAAACTGTTTTGGGAAACCAGGGTCAGGCAGAGTGCTACCAGCTCCCTTAAGGAACCAGGGAAGCTGAATGTTTCCTGACCCCCAGCTCAGCTTAATGGCCCTGAATGTCACTAGGTGATTCTGGGTCTAGACCAGATAATTTAATCAAATTGTGTATTTATTAAGTACTTACAATGTGCATAGCACCATTCTAGGTGCTGAGCAGGGAACAAAACCATGTGAGAAACAGTTTCTATTCTCATGGAACTTACGCTCTGGTCATGAGGCAAGGCATGTAACATAAAAAGATAACCATAATGATAAGGCAGGGGGGCCCAGGGGGTGGAGAGTTGGTCTTGATGCCAGGAAGACCTGAATTCATACCTCTGACACATTCTGACTAGCTGGGTAATGGATACACTTAACCTCTTGGTTCTCTAGGCTAATTCACAGCAGAGAAGGTGCCCATTTCCTTTGGTAGAGGGAATTTATTATAGCAGTGAAATCATAAATGTAGTCCTTATCCCTGTACTAATAATAACTGATATTTATCTGGCATTTCAAAGTTTGAGAAGAATTTAGCATTCATTTGAACTTCACCACAACTGGGGTGGGAGTGGGGTAGGTGTTATTAGCATTGCTACCACCATTTTACAGAAGAGGAAACAGAGGTTGAGAAAGGTTAAGCAGGATTTGGACCTAGATCTTTCCCAACACTAGATGCAGCAAAGTTTCCACTCTATCATGCTGCCTCTCTTTCCATGGAAATGTAACTTAAGTGCCAAAATCATCCTTCTGTCAATGTGCACTGGAGGTCCACAAAAAAGTGACCTGTCTCTGTGGGCTGGAGTGATAATATTAATAATGACTGCCTAGGTAGTTTCATGACTTAGGCACTGGCTTCTCAAGCCACTGATTGTGGGGTTTGAGCCCCACCTAGGGATGTGAACCATTCTTTTGTAGGAGTGAAAGTATCCTCTTCTTAGAGGCAATATGGCATTAGACCTGAATCAGAGGTGTTAGTTTCAACATTTAATAGCTCTGTGGCCTTGGAAAAGTCATTTCGCTTCTCTGAAATGCTTCTCATTTGTAAAATGGATTTTTATAATGTAACCTGTGTTTTAGCACTTCAAACTCTGGTGTTACAATTACCACCTCTTCCTTCCAAGTAAGAATGAATGAGGTATAATCTATGGACATCCCCTCCCTCACACACACCCCACCCAATCATTTGCTTTGATTCATTTTGCCCTTGCCCTTGCCTCTGGAAATCTCAAAATATAGCTAGACTATAGCTCCCACAGCAGACCCTTGACAAGCATTCAGGGTAAAATTAGTATAATGGGTGCAGGGCAGCCCTTGAATGCTTGCTTGAAGTCCAAAAATTCTGTTATCTTTATATGTGGTGGAAACCTAGACATAAGCATTATTCTGAGATTTCCCAGAGGCAATTCTGAAATGAGTCAAAGAGTGACTAAGGCGGCAGAGATGCCTAAGATTGGACCCAGTCTGTATAAGCCTAGAGCTTGGGGCACTAGGCCACAGGTCACAATAATACTTACCTCACCCACCTTTCAGGATTGCTGCCAAGAAAGTAATTTATAATCTGTACTTCCATAATTCCAGTAATTCCACAGAACTCTATGAGCTAGGTAAGTGCAAATCATCACTAAAGGCTTCTTGGAGAAGGTTAGTTTTGACTTTGAGGAGGGAAGGAAGGTAGAATTTCTCTTCTCTACTCTTTCCAATTATAGTGCTCAGGACTGAATACTTACATCACAACAACCTTGTGAGGTAGTTAGTGCAAATATTCTATACCCATTTTATAGAGGAGAAAACTGAGATAGGTTAAATGCTTTATTCATTCATGCAACTAATAGGTATCAAAGACAGGACTAGAACCCAGGCCTTCTGACTCCTAAATCTAGATCTTTACACTATATCACAAGTGATATATGAAAATATGTATTAACAGTTTGGGAGGGAATGAAAAAAAGAGTGTGAGTTCTTAGAAAATGCCGACTCAAGGAAGGATTGCTACATTTTATTTTTTTTCCACAACCTCCCTCCGTATCTCTAGGGCTCCCACGCCTGACGATCCGCTGCCTGTGCCTTGCAAAATACATCTTTACAGTCCCTCCAAATCCAGCTAAATATAGACTTTCTTTTTAAGCATTAAGCAAGAGAAGATTTGGAGAAATCTCTTCTTATCTCTTCACTGACCCCCCCCCAAAAAAGTCCCACTAACAAACATACTCCTTCCCTTCCCTCATCGGACAGATATATGAAGTGTGCGTGTTTCCTACGTGAGTATGCTTCTACAGACATGTACATATTATAAATATGTTAGACCTTGAGATGGAGGGAATGGAATGAGGAGGAGATGGTTATAATGCCAGAAATTCGAGGAAAAGAGAGAATATGGATTACAGAGAGGGAAGGGATTGGGGGACTGGGTCATTATAGAGATCCCTCTGCCTCCAGGCTAACTGCAAGCCCAAGATTTAGGTGTTCAGGAAGTGGAAGATTCGGTGTTCTAATGTTAAGAATGACTGAAGAGTGAAGCTCTTTGAGAGCCTGGTCTGTTTACATTGGGTTCTGTCGCCCCTCAGGAAGCTGGGAGGATTGAAAAGATCTCCAGGTCCTGAAGTAATGGCAGCAGCTTTGGGAGAAGCTGACCAATCCCCTTTAAGTGGGACCACTCCAGGGAGGGGTGGTAATAATGGCTGACATTTACATAGCACTTTCAGGTTCACAAATTGATCCATTATCTCACTGTAGCCTCACAACAAGCCTGTGGAAGTAGGTACAACAGATATTATTATCGTCCCTATTTTACAGGTGAGGAAACCAGACTCAGCAAAGTTAAGTGATTTGCCCAGGATCACACAGCTTGCAAGTGTCCTGCCTGGGATGTGAGCTCAGGTTACCTGGAAGGCCAAATTTAGCACCTTGTTTGCTGGGCCATGCTGCCTCTGCCGTCAACTAGAGACTCCTTTCACAAATAATACAGAAAGAACCAATCGTCCCAAATGCAATACCGGGTGTCCCAAAAGTCTTAGTGCAGGTTGAATGGCTATTCCACCTCAAATGCTCAGATTCAGAC